CGAGGGGCCGCGGCGCGCGAATCAGCTGTTTCGCACGCCGCAGCCACTCGGGATCTCCCCCTCCCTCCCGGGTTTGAGAGCCTGGGAGGGAGGGCGAGCAGTGGCGCGCGAGCGGCAGCAGCGGAGGTGAGTTAGGGCGGCCAGGGCACATTTTTAGGGGCGGCATGGCCCGCACCAGAATGCCGCCCCTAAAAATGTGCCGCCCCAAGCACCAGCTTGTTTTGCTGGTGCCTAGAGCCGGCCCTGTGTATCTCCTATCCTGGAGCCTTAAAATTTCATTTGCTGTTCCTTACAGAAACTCAGTGTCATTCAATAGCAGTCACTCCGCAATGCAGGAAATCTGCAGGAGAGCTAGAATTTGAAACCTCCTGCAGTGTAATGAGATTTGCTTCTGGAAATAAGGAGGGATAAAAGTATTCAGCAAAGCATCTTGTTACACTGAGGCTGCTCTGATTGACCCCAAGATCCGGAAGCACATTGCTGATGTAAAGAGCCCATTGTCCCACACCACTATAACACTTGCACTTGAGTGCAGGTCAAACAGACTTGAGGATCAGGGACATCATCATCATATGCTTAAAATGCAGAAATGTTTTTATACACGCTAAAGGTTCGTCATGGTGCATGAATGCAAAGAATCATATTTTCACTTGGAGGACTCATACCTGTCTGGCTTGTGATATATAAGAGAGAAGAACGCAAACTACTGTCTGTGAATAAACAAATTCATTAATTAAAGCATTCCTCAAAAGCTGGCAGTTAGTCTGACTTGGGTAACTGCAATGGCATGTGAATACAACATTCAATGTGCTTCTTTCCACGGGAGTGAGCCGTGAAAGCACTGCAGGCATCGCCGTTAAAGCTTATTCTGAGTTGAAACGGACTCCAGTTCAAAATGACACTGATGTCATGCCCTTGAAGAAGCTGGATAAGTGTGTTCTATTGCTGCGATGCATATAGTGGCTTATTAGAAATGAAAGCCGCATAAAAATGACAAAAGTAATGGTCACTAAAAATAAGCAGAGGCAAGGAAAAGCAACCAGTGGCCTAACAGAGATAACACAAGTGAAAGGGAATGTCCCAGCAAATGACTAGAGAAGGCTCTCTCTTTACAGAGACTTAGAATGGTCCTTTCTTTGGGTTCTAGTTTAGAACCTTGACTTTGGACAACCATAAGGAGATAGGAGCAGCTTGCATGAGCTGCCAGCATGGAGAAAGATGTGAAGCCATTGGTTAGAATAAACAAAGTGAACAGACCAAAAGGGATAACTGTGAATTTGAAGGTGCATGTGGAGTCCTCCCGTGACATGAGCATAGGAGCAGCTTTCTAGTTTATTCTCTGGTTTCATTAGTGAAATTGGCTTTTGTCTTGGAGAAGCCCCAGAATCTCGACTCACATGCAAAAGCTGAGAACAGCAACAGCGCCTAAATACTACTTAAGAAGGTTCTGGCATATAAAGGGTAAAATGAAAGATGTGGAGTGAAAGGTGAATGAAGCTAACCATTTATAGACATGACCTCATAATACAAAGGGGAAAACTTGCCTGGATTTTAGGGGATGGGGAAGGGAAAGGAACTGCTGAACCAAGTGTTTGGTTTGTTTGTTGAGAATTGCCATGCTGGTAACTTAATATACATGAAATAACGCACGTATTTACCCATGTTTCTCATCTCCCAGAAAGAGGAAACCTTCATTCCTTATTCCACTGGACATTATGTTCATAGGTAAACACTGTTCAGATGCTCACTTTGTAGTTCAATACTGGTTAGATTCCTTCCCCCTCTAATTTGGAAAAGTAACAAAACTGCCTACTTGGTATTCCCAAACGACATCCAGAACCAAATGTAACAGAGGTGTCAGCTTGACAGTTGTCTTTATAAGCACTGAAAAATGCACTACTTGTTACTTGGCAGCTTCTGAACAAACACAACTCAAACACTCCCAACAACATACATCGTCAACTTCTATCACCCACACACTAGGATGACATCAAAGCCACATATTGCCAGACTTAAAGAAAGACACTTCTCTGGGATGTAAGCAAACAGTATTTCCAGAGGAATTCATAGACAACATGGCCAATATACAATTCCTGTTCTACATACTCGGCTCTGAATATTGGCTTCCCAGTGTCATTTGTTAATGCCCTGGCACTGCTTCTGCAGTCAGTGACACATTTCAGTAGTCAGCACCATGCTTCCCTGAAGAAACCCAAGTACCTCAAGCAACAATGATCCTCAGTCTGATGGTCTCTAACTTCTTAATAAACACAAGATCAGCTATCCTGGAGCAAGAGCACAAGGACTATAAGCGGAGATTCTCAAAGCCCTATTCCTGTTCATTTTCATTGCAGTTTGGCAACCAAATCTCTTAGCTGGCTTTGAAAAATAGCAGGAAAGTATAACAAAATGTGCCATCAGGTAGCCACATGTTGCACAGGTCCCTGCACAGGTTTGCAGGAGCTGGGAAGAGGATGCAAGAAGCCCTCCTACCCACCCCACTTCCCTTCCCCGCTCCCCACCCATGCCCATGCATAGGGACTAGATTCTTATTACACAGCACTGTGATTGCTCCAGGGTACTAGTGATATCAGCATTAGCTTCCCTGCAAAAAGAGAAAACCTGGCTCAAATTCCCATAGCAGCATGTGTGAGAGGGAAAATCTGCTTCAACCTGTAGAAAGGGTATTGCATAGGCCACTTTGGTCTACACTCCCCTCAGAGTTCTCAGAGCCACTGTTCTTGCCCAACAAGGTATGTAATCCTCTCTCAGCCAGTGGTGCACCTCAGTGACTACTCTGCAGCTCGTTGGGCTGTAGCAGTGACTACGGTCCTCCATGAGTGCCTGATCCATGCAGTTCATTTTGGATTCTTGACACACCCCTCCCCTGCCCAGCCACAACTCCTCCATGCAGTTGTGGAGATAGCCACCATGGAACATTTGATGAAAGTGCTTCAGAAGCTTTGTGGCCTGACCATCCCCGCTGCAGAGCCATGGTATTTCTACTGGCTACTGGGCCTTGCACTCAGATACAAGTATAATGACCTCCACTGGGGGTCATCAGCTGGGTTGGAATCCTGGCCTAAAGCACAGGCTTCTTCCACTTGAGTTGAAGGAGTAAATCCACTAGCTAGCAGCAGTAGCAGATGACTATCCCCTGTAGGCCAGCCACAGTGGGGGATGTAGAACACACTTTGCCAGTGGAGCAGGAGAAGGAGTGGTATGTTCTTCTAAAGCTTCAATGGACTAGAATAAAATACTAACCTGCCCCAATAGTTGTGTGTTCAACTCAACCAGCTTTATCTGTGTTAAAGACTATGCTGCCTTGTCTGCACTGCAGTATAAGAACCTGTTAACAAACATCTTCTAACACCACACCTGTAAATCCATCTAGAAAAATAACCTGATTTCCCGTGTAGGAAAGAGGATGATAGGAATGGCTATTGAATAACTGCAGCTCCTAGCACCAGGATAGCTAGATTTGTACTTTGTCCTTACAGTATTGCCAACTTTAGGAAAACCTTTAAAAAAATACCTCTTCAGCACAGACAAATACAGCTTGCCTTTTGCCCTTTGTAAACTCAACCATTGCCTGGATTGATAAAGTATGTGCTGACCTTTTCAGTCCGCAGAACATTATATAATGGGTAGTTTTCACTTTCAGTTTTGATCCCATCCAGGGAATTTATCTGATAATCACATTTTCATATCTTCCTTTTGAAAGATCTTTCAATAATTTCTCTGTGTTAAAATCAGAGGTGAGACAAAGAAAGAAAAACACAGAGAAATATCACTAAATGTGGGTGTATTTTTCTCAGGGGTTAAATTTATCCATGGGCAGGAAGCTAGTGTGGGGGTTGTTTGCTGGCCCTCTGCAAAGGGATGAATCTCACAATCTGTGTAAGTGAAAGTGCGGCTTAAAATATTTTACCTTTACTGTGTCCAGAGGATGCCCCACAATTACACTTGCAGCTCCTGGGGATTAAAATAAGGTCATTAGACAAAACACAATTGGGTGAGTCAACTAAAAGGAGAGACTTTTGTAACATTTACCCACTGAAACTCAAATCTGTGCCCTATTGCATATGTGCTCCCCTCGGCCAATCAGAGCACTCGCCTTCATTCTGCTCATTACCTAGTTGGTGAAAATTCACTCATCAGTAGAGCCATGCAAATTGAGGGTAAATCTTGAAGCAATGGTGTCAGTTGCAGAGCAGATGCACAGGGAGAATCGGCATTCCCTTTGCGAGATGGAGCTAATTTCTGAGCCAGACCCACAAAAGCCAACCCAGAGAGGTGGTGGTGGTGAGACCACTTGACATGAAGAGACCACTGTGCATGATTTACAGAGGATACTGCAGGCCACGGGCTGGAAAAGCATATGTGGAGGGGCTGTGGAGCTATCCCATGCACTGTCTGCAACATGGAGGACAGATTTTTATACTCAACCTCTGCACTGTTCCCCATTCAAAACCTATTTTCTCTTAACCAGGTTTTGTGCGTGTGTGTTTGAGGCTGCGTGTGAAAATCTCTGTCATTCAATAGTGTCAGCTGACCGGGACAAGGGCAGTCTAGCCTAGTGATCAGAGCGGGCGTCAGACTTCATGGCTGGAGCAGATGTCAGGAACTAACAATTAGGTCAGAACTGGAGTCAGTAGTTGGAAGGTGGAGCCAAGAGTCAAGCTGAAGGTCAAGCACTAGATGCTGGAGCTGAGGGGCAAGTCAGAGTCGGTAATCAGAAGGCAGAGCCATGGATCAAACCAGAGGGCAGGTACTGGAAACCAGAGCTGAGGATCAAGCCGTAGTCAGAAACCAGAGGCATGGGTCAAACCGGACGCTAGGAACTGGATAGCCAGGGTCAGTAGTCAGAAGCCAAAGCCATGGGTGAAGCTGAGGGTCAGGAACTGGAGCAAGCAGTCCAAAGGGGGGGCAGGACAAAGGCCAGGCTGGAGTAGCAAGAACAAGGTAACCCAGCAGTGGTGGCCATGAGCACTGAGCAGCCAGCGAGCTGCTGCTGGCGTAAGAGCGGGCTTGCTCGCTCCAGCAGCCAATCGGTTAGCATGGCCAATGGTGGCTGGCCAATCAGGCAGCCTGCGGCAGGCCAGCTGTACTGATGAGGCTGCCTAGAGCCTAGCTCTGCTGCAAGCCCTGGCTCCTGACAAATGGCTTCATCGTTAACTGACAGCTCTGTTGATCATTGGACTATTGCCACGTTACTGAGTTGTGGGAAGTCAGCCGGGGCCCTGCAATGCCCATGAGAAACATTTCCATGATGGCCCATCAAAGGGAGAACAACAAGAAGTGGGAGGAGAGAAGCAAAGTGGGGGTAGAGAATAAGAATCATTTAAAAACTAGTCCAGAAGCTTAGCTCAGGATCACATGCATTCATGTACTCGATTTATGGGAGTATTTAGTACAATTGTGCATGAAAACTGTACATGCAACTGGCAAATTTTATCCCTAACTGGCTATTTGCTCACCCAGTTTTCCTGCCCCATTTATGCATGCGTTTACAGTAATAGACATGGACAAATTAGCCAAAATACATCACGACAGAATCCAGTCTCCTCAGGTTTTGGAAATCAAGCCTCACCCTTTCTCATGGTAATTTGGCAAAGATTCCAGTTTTTCCTGAATAAATGAGGACGTTGACCTGAACTATTTAGTGGTTTGACACCCTTGTGTGGTGCCAATACAAAAGCCTCAGGTGCCCTGTGTGGACATTAAAAATCCACAACAGTAGCACTTTTTGTAACAGTAGCCACCTGCTCTTAGCCAAAATTTCTTTCTCTACCCTGTTGTGTTGTCCACCTGCCAGCTGTCTTCCAACCCAGTGAGAGCTGCATTGTAGTGGTGCACTTTGAGATCTTTCTAGATAAAAGGAGCTCTCTAGAAGTGCAAGATACATCTTCTTCCTACACTTTCTAATTGAGATGGCACCTATTTTACAGAAGGCCAAAATCAATTCTTTCAGAAAACTGCCTGATCAATAATTCTAGTCTGATAGTGACAGTTAGTCCTGATAAGGCTATAAGATTATCAGGACTATCCACTCAGAACCAGATCTGAGCCTTTCATAAAAGGGTGTGGATTAATGGAGCCATCTGATTGGCTAGTGAGGATTCCCAGCTGTTTAAATATGAGGCTGTATGCACAGGGACCTGAACTCAATAGGCAAACACTAGAATGCCTTTAGAAAACCATAATCTTATGTGTTGGGTTACAATATCATTTTACATATTTCTCAGCTAGAGACATTCAGCCTTGCAGATCATGCACTTACCTCAGGAATGTGTAATGTAAAGATGACACCATAATGTCACATCCCACATCTCATTGCATATTGGTAGTCTTAGAACAGACAGATAAAACTGTGCGATGTTCTATTACTGCTTAATTGAAACTATCTTCTTTGTACAAATGTGGCAAACGACACATACAAACACAAACATGAATGAATGCGGACAACTTGATAAATGCATCCATCGATAGACTTCTTTTTAAAAAATGGACATACACTTACCTATTTTTATATAACTCTGCTGTTACTGTCCCAAAATATCCCACCAGTGTTACTTACCTCCTATCCAACCAGCTACAAAATCTTCTAACTGAAGACTGCCCATGTTTTAAAACTGCAGGACAACTCCTATTCAAATAGTTTCTTGCAAGTTTGCAGTTCTCATTCAATTTCTTCAGCATGTGCTGTTGAGGACTGCTTGAATGTGTCTCTTTGACTCTGTGACGTAGAAAAGTGACTCCAACACCCCCGGGTGTCCCAAAGGGATTGTAGTAAGAGTTTGTGTCTTTCACATGTTTCAGCAGTATTAAAACTGCAACAACTCTGACTCTAACCTCTCACACAGCCTGTCTCAAAGTGCCTCCAAAGCCCACTGTGACATCATTCCCCCAAACCTTAAAGGCACAGTACAACTAGAGCATAGGAAATTCCCCACTGTTTTTTTTTTTCTTTTTTTTCTTTTAGAGACAAATGGGGAAGGTTACTGACTAAGTACAAATCATGCATTTATTTCAGGTGAAATTACTTTGTGTTCTAATTGTTCCTTTTGAAAGAAGCATCTGTAAAAGGGATTTTATGTTACTGGCAATAATGATAGTTGAAGATAATTGCATTTGAAAAGGTGGGGGTTTTCCAAAGACGTAATATTTTAAAAACATGAATTAATATGAAATTCTGGGTATGGCATGGAGTTAGGGCCATAGTATGAACTACTTACTTATGTTGGTGGGCAGATACTCATACATGTCACAATATAATAACAACAATACCTAGTTCTTATATAGTGTTTTAATCAGTAGATCTCAAAGGAAAGTCAGTATCACTATTCCCATTTTACAGATGGGGAAACTGAGGCCAAGAGATCTGCCCAGGTCACCTGCTGGAAACAGAACTTAAGTCTCCTCAGTCTCAACCCTATGTGCTATCCACTAAGCAACACTGCTTCTCGTATGATACATAGCAGCATATGCTATCACAATATGAGTAAAGGGTTCATACTGTGGTCCTTGAATGCTAGGGAAAGTGACTGTGATCCAGAATGCCAACTCATGTAAATAAAAGTAGCTCTATTGAGTTCAACACAGCTATGCTGAGAATCTGGCCCTCTAAGTACGGACTAAGACATATAGTATATCTATCCCGAGGGAAGTTGTACCTCTAGCAGTGGTGTAGCTGTGGGGGAACAGGGGGAGCGGCTGATCCCCCTGAGCACATTCCCCAAAAGTGGCGCCTTTTTAACTCACTCACAAAAAAAACTCACCACCCAGTGTGGCGCGGTCTTCGGCGGCGGGACCTTCGCTTGCTCCGAGGGGCTTCGGCAGCATTTCGCCAGCGGGTCCTTTAGTGCCGCCGAAGACACCCAGAGCTAGTGAAGGGCCTGCCACCGAAGACCCGGAGTGCCGCCCTGTCAGTAAAAGCGCCGCCGGATGAGTAAAAGCGCCGCAGCGGGTGCTGCCTTTTTTTGTGAGTGAGTTAAAAAGGAGCCACCCGCTGCGGCGCTTTTACTCACCGGGTGGCGCTTTTACTGACGGGGCGGCGGTCCGGGTCTTCAGCGGCGGGCCCTTCACTAGCTCCCCATGTCTTTGGCGGCACTGAGGGACCTGCTGCCGAAATACCCCCGAAGCCCCGAGGAGCAAGTGAAGGTCCCGCCACCGAGGTGCTGCTGAAGACCCGGGTGAGTACAAGCACCGCAGCAGGTGGCACTTTTTTTCTGATCACTCTCCCTGTTCCCTCCACCTGGCTACGCCACTGACCTCCAGGGCCTAATCTTGCCAACTTTTACGCGTATGAATGGACCTTACCCACACAAGTAGCCCTGTTGACTTCGATATTCCATACATGAAGCCAATGGGACCGTTCACACTTTAGGATTTGTCTACATAGGGACATCCAGGAAAATTAATTAGTTAAACTTAATTATATCCCTGTGTGGACACTGTTAATCAGAATTAAAGTGGCCTTAATTCTCAATGACAATGTTCACACAGGTGTTTAATGTCGTTTAACTAATCCACTTCAAATTCACACCTTTAGTTCATTTGGATTTAGTTCAATTTTCCTGGCTGCCCCTTAGAGACCAGCCCTTAATGCCCTTGCATAAGGAATACCTATGTGAGTAAGGGGTTGTAGGATAGGGCCCCTACTTAAACCTAAACTTGTTGGTGTTGAGGAACAGGGAAAATGGAACTTACTCATATTCAGTCAACTAATAGCCAGGAAACTTTACTTAAGTACATTAAAAGCCAAGAACTACTGGATTAGGATTTAGGAGCAACAGGTCTGATTAAAACAGTTGAATCTATAAACTCCAAAGTTAAAACATTAGGCATCCTGAGTTAAAGTGTTTTTCTTGACTCTGAACAAGTGAGATCTAAAGAGAGGACAAAAATGACAAGAACAAAGTGACCCTTCATGTACCGCTATTAAGTCTGTGGGATGCTTTCTCAAGAAAGCACACCATGAGCCAGCCAGAAGGTCTAGTGCAGTGGTCCCCAACCTTTTCCGTGGGGCGGGCGCCGGAAGACTAGCTGCCGAGGACCGCATTTCAGCAGCATTTCTGCGGTAGCGCTTCTTGATGTTGCTGCTTCTCGGCGGCTGCTTGTCCGGCAGCCAGTAAGCGGGCACACATGGATGCCCCGGCGGGTGCCATGGCACCCATGGGCACCGTGTTGGGGACCCCTGGTCTAGTGGGGGTGGCATGCCCTTGGCGGGGAGGGGGAAAAAAGTGAGAAAAGGGAATTTCCCCAAGGATTATCCCTCCCCCACCCTCAAAAGCGTTCTACACAATGGGATACTTTACACCATAATAAGCTAAATTTCCACTGGGACTAGGGCTGACTGGAAAATTTATCAAAACTCTTTTGACAGAAAATTCTTTTTTTTTTAATAAATTAATTAAAACAGAACACCTGAAAACCAAAATAATGTGGCTTTCAGACAAAAATTTTCAATATTTAAATTTTCGCTGGAAAAAAAAAGATTTTCCAGCTCTAATAAATAAAATAATAATGATATATAAATGGATGCACATGGACTTTGTGTGTATTATTTTCATGAAGACCATTGAAAAATCTGGCCAAATGGGATAACCATTAAGAAGGATGGATGGATGATGAATTAGCCATGTCTTCTATTTAACTTAATGGAGTCACACAGTTAAATTTCCCCACCACATTTTGAATATTAAGTGTGAAATAGTTCATGTTACTGTAAAATAGAATTGCAATCAGCTGTTATTCAGACTTTCCTGTAAATAACTTGGATATAGTTCAGAAAGAGTTGGGAAGCTAGAACTGAAATGGAAGAGGAGCTCAATTTCTGGAAATGTATCTCTGAACACAGTGGGTGCCAATCTATTTGCAGTGAGCTGGGCAGTTGACAGCACTTGGAATAACTAGCCCACAACCATGAATCAGATACTTCCCATTACTATTTCAAACCAGCCCTGGAAAAGGGCTGAGCTACCTGACAAAGAGCTAATTATAAAGACTTGTAAAGTGGCTATCAGCAAAAAGTTAGGAGGGGATTCACTGGGAAGAGTCATGAGTACTTGGAAGAGCCTTCATTTATATGACTAGGAGATTTGTGGGATGTGAAGAAGTCTCCTTCCAGCCCTGGAAGGATCCGTATATTTTTCTTTGGAGGTCATCTCTGCACTGTATGTGCCCAAACCGACTGGATACTTCAGTCCTGGCCCATGCTTTAATCATGATGGGGGCACATCAGCAAGTGCAACATGGGTTCCCAGGCTTACAATACAGGTTAAACATTGATTGGGCAAGTGTAAAATATTTCTTTATTATGATGCATTCCATTTCAGATACGCTGGTCCAGGATTAACTCCTCTTTGTACATTAACCTCTTTATAAAAGTGTAACTGCAGCTCCACTATTGCAAACAGATACACGGGTGCAATGCCTTCAGCCTTCCCAGGGTCTACATCTCTTAGCATTACATCTCTTAGCATGACTGGGACCTAAAAAAATTGATCAAGGCCAGTAGATTAAAAAAAAAATGATAGGAAGCCCCAAAATGACAAAAAATGATTTAATCAATATGTAAATGAAGTAAAGCAGACAGCATCATATGGAAAGACTACCAGCTAAATCCAGACTGTCTGAAGACACACCAGTGACCATGGAACTGAGGTGCAGAAGTGTGCCACAGTTGTTAGCCTCTCTTGTAGTTAACAAATCATTACACTCCAGCAGAGAGAGGGTTACCACTGCTTGGCTTTGTTACAGGAGTGCTCTGTCTATGTAATTAGTTAATAGAAATGTAGCGCCTAGCTTTTAGATAGCATTTTCAGTCTTTAGATCTCAAAGCACTTTACAAAGGAGGTCAGTCTCATTATCCCCATTTCACAGATGGGGAAACTGAGACACCAGGAAGGAAATTCCTTCCCCAAGGCGACAAGTGGGAACTGAACCTACATCTTCTAAGGGCCAGTGCAGGGCCCTATCCAGTAGGCTATACTGCACACAGCACTCTTTGTGGGTTTAGTAAGACAAATCGATTTTGCTGTAGTGAACTGCAAAAGACTTCCTTTGTGCACCTCTTCACAGGCTTTGTGGGCAAAATACATTCCGGAGGAGAGTTTGAAAATCAGAAGGGTCAGAGCTTGTCACCAGAGAAGCATTGGGAGAGCATGTTGAGCATGAGGGCTTAGTGCAAAGAGGCACAGGGACAAGAATGGGAGGAGACAAGAGTACTGGTCATATGGGAGGTGTTGGTGGAGTGAAGAAAGTGATCTGAGGTAAGCGATAAGGCTGGGGACGTAGGCTAGAGCCTTGATGGTGGGAATGGGAAGGAGCTGAAACCTGATGCAGAAGTGGATAGGAATCCAGTGCAGGGAATCACAGAGAAGACATGATTAAGGACAGTGACTGTGGGAGAAAGGGCAGTGGAGAAGGGAAGGGATGAGGTGGTAGTGGGAGAACGTATATATAACATAGTCAAGAGAGGACCAAGGCCTGGTAAGGAGTGGAGAGGAAAGGACAGTGGTTAGAGACGCTATATGTCAAGAAGTGGAAGAATATTGCTTTTTTTTAAGTTAGATTTCCTCCCCATGAACAGTATCCCTTCCTTAATTAGTCTGCTTATTATCAGCTTACCAAAAATTCTATCTATCTATATATACACATATATAGATAGATATAGATATACACACACACACACATACAGTAAATATAATGCAGAGAGAGAGAGAGAGAGAGAGTTAGTTAATGACACCTAATGTGGGGAGCAGGGGGCAGATTATCCCACATCTGCTATTGAGGAGTTCTGACACCTTCCTCTGAAGCATCTGGTATTGGCCCCTGCCAGAGACAGGATACTGGACTAGAGGGACCATGGGTCTGATCCAGTCTGGCA